AAGAGTTGCTTTTGGCCTTTCAAGCCACGAGGGACTGGACCCGGGAGGGAATCCTGCCTCTTTTACCCAAGTCTACTAATATCCTTTGGCAAAGTCTCCCTCCATGTTCCATTAGCTTCTGAGGGTACTATGCCAATCAGAAGAAGAAAAGGAGGAGGAGGAGGGGGAGGAGGAGGAGGAGGAAGAAGAGGAGGAGGAGGAGGAGATTGGATTTATAACCCGCCCTTCACTCGGAGTCTCAGAGCGGCTTACAAACTCCTTTCCCTCCCCGTCCCCACAACAGACACCCTGTGAGGTAGGTGGGGCTGAGAGAGCTTTTTCCAGAACTGTCCTTGAGAGAACAGCTCTGACAGAACTTGTGACTGACCCAAGGTCACCCAGCAGCTGCAAGTGGAGGAGTGGGGAATCAAACCCGGTCCTCCCAGATTAGAGTCCACGCACTTAACCACCACCACCCCAAACCTGGAGGGGCCTGCCCCACTCATTCCACAGAAGCATTTGTGGGTTTGTAAAAACCTGCCAAGGGCTTGTGAAAACCTGCCAAGCAGTAGGGTTGCCCAGGCCCGTTGGAAATGTCGGTGGGGGATGGGGTGGCCTTCCAGGAGTCGTAAGATCAGCCTCAAACCATAGAGTTTTGCCCAAAAACCAGAACGTTGCCCAGGGCCGGCTCCAGCTTATTTTGCACCCTAGGCGAGGATCCCTTCTGCCCCCCCCCCCGTGCGCCCACCAATTTTCAAATATAAATGCATTTTAGGAAGAATGAAAAACACAAATAATCAAGAAACTCCCAGAGTATGAGGCGGGGGCAGTTTGGGGCCCCTAAGGGCCATCCTGCTCTAGGCGACCGCCTAGTTCGCCTAGTGAGTGAGCCGGCCCTGACGTTGCCCCCCAATGTTACCGACATGCCTATGTCACTTCTAGGTGACGTAGGGACGTCACGTTTATTTCCAGCTACATTGCTGTTTTTTTGGGGGGGCAAAACCAGGGAATCCCCTGCCCCCAACTGGGGAACGGCAACCCCACCGAGCACTTGGGGGCTGAAGGGGGTATATCTTGTTCTGCATCCCTGCTCCTTGCTGTATTATTGTCCTCGTATTTCATGTCAATTGCCACGTATCAAGGAATTTCATTGTTATTACTATGATGTCGTTAGGCTTTTTTTTTTTTTAATCTTGAAGGGTGGCTGCCAATACAAAAATAAACAAACTTAAAAAGCACACCTAATATTAAAACTAGGAGGCAGCAGATGACATTCGAAACATAGTAAGTCCAAAAAGGACACAGGGACTTACATGAGCCCATTTCTTCTGCCAGACCTCGGAGCTGTACCTCCGGTGCTCTTTCTGGACCCACGGGTAACATTTGAGGTGTGCAGTGACATCACAGTAGGCGGTGCCGTTCCCCCCAAAGTCGTTATCCACCTTGAAAATCCAGCGTTTCACTTCCGGGTAGTCGATGATCAGCTGACTTAGGACTTCAACCATCTGAGGCAAAAACCCCCCCCCAAACGTTTAGCTTTAAGGTTCATATTAATGTCATCCTACCTGTTTCCTTTCTTTTTTTCATCCGGTACATTGATATAACCAAATTCGTACCGAGAAAAATTTAACAGGTGAATAAACCAGTATTATGCCAGCCGTTCGGGGAACAATTCTCAATCGAAAAGGAAAAGCGAAGACGAAGAGAAGAAAAGGAGGCGACGAGACAAATCTAATCACCAGTAAGTACTCTGAATGTCTATTTCCCTCAGGCACCTCCTTCTCAAACAATGACAACATTTAATTTTAATTTTAGAAAGGGGAGACAATCACGACGGTACTAGATTCCCTTGCATCTTCCTCTTTCACACAGTACACGCTTCCATATGTAGTTTCAGAGAGCAGCCGTATTGATCCGCAGCAGAACAGCTAAATTCGTGTCCGTTAAGCACATTAGAGACCAACCGAATTTTCGGGGTTTGAGCTTTCGAGAGTCAAAACAGTCCCGAAAGCTCAGACCGCGAAAAGCCGGTTGGGTCTCTAGTGTGCTTACCGGACTCGAATCTAGCTTCCATATATGAAATCATAACAGTCACAATCCAAAACATGACCTGTTTCTAAGCCAAACCAAGGGAGCACGGAGGTAAGATCCACCCAACGAATTCTTGCATACTGATTACAGAGATGCATCTGACCTGTACTACCTGCTTTTCAGCTAGATACAAAAAGGCCATTTTATGCACTCTCTTGTGGATTTCTGGCTTGTGGGTTTTGAAATGTAACCTTGAAAAGAAAAAAAGGAGACTGGGCTAGGAGGCATTTGTTATAAGGGCAGTCCGCTGGACTTGGAAGACGGGGTATTTTTATTATTTGAGCCTCAATCGCAAATGGAATTATTATTTGTTTGCCCAGTGTCCTGTTATTTGTTGCTTTTGAAAGCCCAATAAATGGGTTTTCTGTTGACGACTCCCCTACAGAAAAGAAACGGATCGATAGTATTGTAAAGACCGTACCCGATGGAAAGAGTTACGAGCTATCTTTAAGTGAAAATTGAACTGTGCCTTAAATTATTGTCACCTCCCTTTGATTATTTAACGCCTCGCTTCAATATTTCATACGGAGCAAGAGGGCCAAGAAGCGAGGAGCAAAATAATAATAAAAAAAACCCAAGATCTGAAATGAAACGAATTGAAAGGGAAGCTAATGTGTAAGGTGGATCATGGTGTGCGATCTTGTAAAAACAGATGAAGTCGTTTTCAAGCCAGTGGCTTAGACCCCCGTCTACACTGTGGGTTGCTAGTATTTTGTGCAGCTGTGGTTAACGTTGGGTGCAGCAGATCTACCTCTTGCAGATCACAGGGAGTGAACATTACGCCTAGCTCAGCTGAACATTTTTGGCCCCGTTAACACTAATTACACAAATGCTTTCATTTTCCTGATTACACCAAACTCTTTCTCAGCAGGATCTCCACGTGCCGTTGTGCGAGTGGCCCCTTTTCGGGCATTCAGTGGACTAATTCCTACTTGATTTCCTCAATAGCGGCCTTTGTCCTTGTTCCTTGATCTCTCGCCTGGGGCCTGACCCTGCTCATCTCTCTAACTGATCCTGTATATATTAACCCCTGAACTTCATTTTAAGATAAGCCATTCATTAAAACTTCATTTTAAGATTAGCCCTAATACCAAAGTGCTTTCTGAGGCATTTTCAGTTAGATTCCGTTCCAGTAGCACCTTAGAGCAGGGGTGTCGAACTCATAAATGAGACCTTGTTGGGCCGGGCCGTGTGTGTCATAAAATGTAATGCCAGGTAGCGGAGAGATAAACTTTATAAAGGACACAAACACAAAGGGTTTTTTTTAACTTAATGCTTAAAACATCAGCACTCTTGCAATATTTTGTTTTTTTAACAGTGTCTGGTAACTGACACCTCTTGCTCTGAATTATTGCATCAAAATATCTGTCCTGTTGCAATCTTGAGTATGCTGTTCAGGTGCGTATCTGTAAGCTGCAAACCTATGATGACGCAGCAGCAGCAGAACTGGAAGAAGAAGCAGAAGACAGCCAGTTCCACTGCAGGCCTGATAGAAGCCCTCCGGGGGCCTGATCCGGCCCCTGGGGCCGCATGTTTGACACCTCTGCCTTAGAGACAAACAAGATTTTTTTGGGGTATGAGTTTTTGAATGTCAAAGCTCCCTTTGTTGGATGCAAGTATCTGACAAAGGGAGCATTGACCCGCAAAAGCTCCAAAAAATCTTGGTGTCTGGGGTGCTACCCGGTTCAAATCTAGCTGTCCTACTGTGGACCAACATGGCTACCCTCTGAAATTAGGTATTTTCAGTATCTAAAATATAGACTAGATGTAAGAGAGGCAGTAAATAGCTGGTATGAACAAGGCTTTCGTTGGTTTTCTTTTTCTGATTATTGATGGTGCTTTGGGGAGGGGGGAATCCACCACCTGGAATGTGCAAAAGGTTCCGTTTGCATTGACTGCATCGACACCTTGTTGGATATTATTGTGCTGCTGTTGCAACCGAACTGGCTTGTCCACTCGGAGCCACACAGGAAAATCCGGTTGCAAACAATGGCCATAGTGGTGCAACAAGAACACAATAGCCAACAATGTGCAAACACAGCATTCTGCTGTTTACAAAGCAAGAGCAACCAGCAAAATGATCCAGGGACTGTTTTCAAAACCCACAGCATTAAGCAATCCAAGAACAACTGCAACCACCCAAACTCACTGTGTGCTGACCGCAAGCACACACCCGTCAGCTCTTGCCCACAGAAGATATAAATCAGGGTCCAGACTTCAAAATGCAATACTAACAGATGGATGTTTCCTGATGTCACAAACTATTTGTTTCCAAGGAGCTACGTGGCCTGATTTGAAGTGGAAATGGTTGCAGCTTGGGTAAAGTTGACGTGAGCCAGGTTCTAAAGAAATTTACTTTGCTGCTACAAACATTCCAGAGGGGCTTCAACACAGGGAAGCGACACACAGGAGAGCCAGTTTGGTGTCGTGGTTGAGTGCGCGGACTCTAATCTGGGAGAACCGGGTTTGATTCCCCACTCCTCCTCCACCTGCAGCTGGCTGGATGACCTTGGGCAAGCCATAGTTCTGGCACAGCTGTTCTTGAAAAAGAGCATTTTCTCTCAGAGCTCTCTCAGCCCCACCTACCTCACAGGGTGTCTGTTGTGGGGAGGGGAAGGGAAAGGAGTTTGTAAGCCGCTCTGAGACACCTTTGGGTAGTGAAGGGCGGGGTATAAATCCAATCTCTTCTTCTTCTTCTATCTACCTACCTTCCTATCAATCTATCTACCTATCAATCTATCTACCTATCGTCCGTCCGTCCATCGATCCATCCATCTATCTATCCATCCCGCCATCGGGACACCCTCCACCCCCACACCGCCGTCAGGACTCCCAGTGCCGCCATAAGACTCCTCCCCGGGTCCTCCGCTGCTTACCTGGAGCCCGGCGGGTACCAAGAAAGAACAGCCGAGGACAACAGCTTCAGCCGGAGAAACGCCACCACCGCCCTGCATGCTCTCCCTGAGTGGCGGCAGCAGCAGAGCTGGCAGGAGCACACCCGCCCGTGCCAAATCGACGCCTGGACATCCGAGCCCGGCGGCCTAAACGGAGCCACCCGGTGACCCCCTGCCCCGATCCGGAAGGAGTAGCGGGGACCACAGCCTGTTCTGGGGGGCGGTGTTCTCAATTATGTAGGGGGGAGGGGCCAGGAGGGAGGGAGGAAAGGATGAGCACAAGGAACACTGGGGGGAGTGGGGAAGGGACAAAAGCAGGGCAGCAACAGGGGGTCAGGGATGACGACCTGGATTGGACAGAGCTGTGCCCAGAGAGAATCGGACAGCTATCCATCCAGAAGGAGCGGGTCGGCAGGGGCCACCGCCCCTCCGCCGTTCAAGTGTCTGAGGCCCCTGCTGCCCTGGGAGGCGGGACACCAAGGTGGCGGAGCGGGCAGAGTTGGAGGAGTCCAGCAGCAGCAGCGAGAGGGAGTTGTCCGGATCATATGACTATCTATCTATCTATCTATCTATCTATCTATCTATCTATCTATCTATCTATCTATCTATCTATCTATCTATCTATCTATCTATCTATCTATCTATCATCTATCTAGATCTATCTATCTATCTATCTATCTATCTATCTATCTATCTATCTATCTATCTATCTATCTATCTATCTATC